TTAGGACAAAACAGAATTTAAACAGGGATGTACTTACTGGCAATGAAAACAAAAACTAAAATTAGAGCACAGAGATGAAACAGCAAAGCCTTCCCCTTCTCGGCCTCTAATAATCAGGAGGTGATATAGTCCCCCAACCTAATATAGGTGCCATATAGGGCTTTTCCTAGTTTGAGTTCTAGAGGAGACCCAAAGCAGAGCCTTAAGATTGTTTCAAGCAAACTGATATTCTAGGGTAGGTGCTCTAATGCTGACCACAGAGCACGTGGAAAAATTACTAACTGGTGACCCACAGCTCTCTCTCCACCAGGGATCATGGCAAAACCTGGCAAACAGTTCATGGTAAAGAGCCTCTGGTGGGTCTTTACTCCAGATCCAATCCCCAGGCTTAATGCTCAGCAAGTTTTAGTATATTCTCTAGTTCTTAAATTTCTTTGTCTTTACATTCCATTAGGAACTTGCCTAGAGGATTATAACAGAGGAGAATGATGCCTACTCTGTATATGTTTTCTAGTGATTACTGGGAGATTATATTCTGGGCATGCAAGAAGAGTTATAACCAAAATGGATATAATGCATTTTTCTAATCACACCACTGCACAGCAACTAGTCCTTGTGCTGGACCAGATCACTGGGAATCTTCACCAACACTAGCACATTTCAGGTTCACACACCCAGCCCTAGCCAAAGGTAGACTGCAAGTGCTCTTCGCAACCAAAAGCAGTTTTGAAAATAATTTTTAAAAGCAAAAAAGATTATAAACATTACTGAGAAAGCAAATTTAAGTGGTGGCAAAGATTTAAAGTGAGTATTACATGTAAGTTTTCCTTTATCCCAAACCTGGTCTACAGCTTAGTGCACCACCTGGCCCATACCTGTGCACATACTCTGAATAGACTGCCCAGAGAAAGGGCCACAAGTCATTGGCTTCTGGATCAAACAGATGTTCTCCAGCTGCTCCTGGCCAGTGCTGGGGCTGTGGGAAAAGGCAACAAGATGAGATAGGATGCTTCTAAGATGCAACTTCCTGGAATCTCTGAGTATGGATGGTGGCCTGGGGAAGATAGCCCTATGCCTGATGAGCCACTAGATCTATACACGGACCTCAACAAGGGCTGATTTGGTTAAAATGAATGCACCAAAAAGAAAGACTTTGGGGTCTTTCTTCCTTCGAGGGGATCGTAAAGTTACCCAGGTCTCCTATGAACCTCCCACCATCTCTCCTTTGGATTGGATTTGCAGCCCTTTAAAACCTCCATTTCTTTAACCATTATATAGGAATAATATTGCTATCCCCCACGCTTACGATGGCACCAAAATGAAGTAGTAAGTGTAGAGCACTGACACTTTTAGAAGTTCTGAGTTTTAGTTGTTTGCTTTTGTTTTTAGCTGGGCCAGGGATGCTCCAGCACCCCCATCTATGATGTCTTCTGAGAGCTTCACACGGTAGCTTATCTGCTTGATTCTTGCAGGCATTTGGGTTGGCTATCCCCTGATCTTACCAACCTGAGAATAAAAACCTTTCATGAAGGCATTCAAATGGCCTTTGCTGAACCAGCATTCTAATAAACAAAGAATGTTCAAGGCCCTAGAAGAATAATGAATTAAGTGGGAACCCTGTCCCACTCCAAAGGTCAGCTTTGCATGAAATAAGCTATATTCAGGAGTGAGCAAAGTAGAGAGTGAGAAGGAAGAAGAGATGCAAAACCACAGGTGCTCCGTGCCCTGGAATGAACCCAGAACTGAACCTCTAGGAAGACCAACTATCTCAACATATCCTGCTGCCCTTCGTCACCTAAACTGGCCCCAGCCTCAGTGAGCCCACACCGACCCCACTGCTTTAGGCAGCTGGACCCAGTCGAGAATGCTGGTGCATGCAGCTTTCTACAAAGCCTCTCGCTATATCCTTGGATTGGTAATGCCAGGTGCTCTCAGCACTGAATCTGCTCCTATTCAGAGTGGTCAGAACTAGAAAGAGAAGAACAGTAGAGATAGTGGAGAGAAGGTGGGTGCAGAAGCAAAGTGCGAGTACAGAGTCATTTTTCAGAGACTAGGAATGAGGACTCATTATGACTTAGGGAGAAACCTCATTACTGTGCTTTTCAGCAAGTTTAGCCCACATTGACTGAGATCCTAAGTGTCAGGCCCTGGGCTAGCAAGGAACTAAGAGTAAAGAGAAATTGACATGGTCCCTGCCTTCTGGGAGCTCCCAGCTGGCATCCTAATTCTAAGGGGCACTGAGTAAACAACTTCTCAGGAAAGGCTCTGTGGATGGAGCCCCCCATCTTTTCCATGTAAATGCCTGCATGCAGGATGAGAAGGTGGATGTCTTTCGTGCCATGCAGAGCTGAGCAAAGTGCCCTGAGAGAGGCATTGGCAGAGCACTCCCGGGTTGAAAGGAAGGAGATACCTCAGCAGTACTGGAAAGGCCAAGAAAGGCATTCGGGTGGGCCTTTGGAGAAAAAAAAAGGGCTTTTCTGTCCCAGGTATTCATGGCCCATGTGATCTGGGCCACATATACGAATCTATTGTTTAAAAAGAATAAGGACTAGCATTTACTGCGAGTCAGAAAAGGACAAACACTGTATGATTCCATTCATAGGAGGTGCATAAAAGTAGTCAAATCTATAGAGACAGAAAGTAGAAAGGTTGTTCTCATGGGTTCAGGAGGGAGAAATGGGAAATTAATTAATGGATATAGTTTTAGTTTTGTAAGACGAAAAGAATTCTGGAGATTGGTTGCCCAACAATGTGAATATACTTAATACTACTAAACTGTAAATTTAAAAATAGTTAAAATGGGAAATTTTATGTTACGTGTTTTACCACAATTAAAATAAGCTTTTAAAAATGCAAACCTGAAAAAGAAAAAAAAAGCCATTTTGCTAAAAGCCTCCACACATGGCCTCAGAGCTGAGGAAAAAACAGGTACGTTGCTGTTGTCTAGAAGTTCGCTGTTTAACAAATCAGGTAGATAAATGGATGTTAGGGTGGAGGGCACGTGAGGAGGCTGCTCTAAATGGAGCCAGAGACACAAGGAGCCACCCCTTTCCTGGGGCAGTTGAGAAAGGCTTCATAGGAAATGTGGCTGGCTTCTCAGTAGAGAAAGGCAGGACAGGTTGTATATCAGGGTTGGCATCCCATGGCATCCTTATTTTAAGGGATGCTGAGTAAACAACTGTTCAGGAAAGGCTCTATGGATGGAGCCCTATCTTTTCCATGTAAATGCCTACATGCAGTACCACCCTTCCCGTTTCTGGCTACAGACCATCCAGTTACATGTCCTGGGCTCTAGACCAAGAGCATGACCTGCTCCTGCCCACACAGGCCCTATGCTTTCACCTTTGTGAGCACAATGAGGCAGGGATGTGTCTGTCCTGCTCACTGATGACTCCTCAGCACCTAGCCCAGGAAGTACATAGCAGGTGCTCAACTAACTTTTCTAGCAGAACTAACTCTTCCCTTGCTCAAGGCATTCCCACATATCTCTCCTCTCTCTTACCATGTCCACGTCTTACTGGTATAACAACTTCCATGCACCCCTCCCCAATCCCTTTACTTGAAAATTACCTCACCCCCAGAGGAGCCATAATATTGCTGTATCTGTGTCTGTCTTAAACATTAAACTCCATTCTTTCCTCCTTAAGAGAGTTTGTGTTCCTATACTCTCCCCTAAAGACAAGGGAAAGGTCACCAATATTGGGACACTCACTCCAGACTCAGCCCATATTCAGTATTTTATAACACCATTTAATGCCCACAGTCACCTAGTTGGGTGGGATTGCTGTTATCATCACTGGATAAATGAGGAAACTGAAACACAGGCGCTCGAGATCACAGAGCAGTAGCCAGCTGAGCAGGTATTGGTAATGGACTTTAAGACACTGGGTTCATTCCAGAACCCTATCTGAAGGGGATCCACAGCAGGGGCATCTTTATAGCAGCCACAGCAGAAATGCTAAATGTCTCATCCATGGCAGAAATCAATGGAGCTGAATGGATGTCAATCCTTGGCCCATCCCAGACTTCAACCACAGCAATGGTAGGCAGTTTCATGTGAGCTCAGGCTCAGCTTGTGCTGACAATGTCCTACCTCATATTCAGTCCTCCTTCTGCCCTAGAGTTTCCTGTGTATCTTGGTGTTCCCCGTCTCTACTGCTCCCACCTTGCCCCAAAATATAGGAGAGTTAATACCTCCCAGACAGCCTTCTACCAGAGGAGGGTGGGAGCAGTGCATACTTATCTACCGTCCTGCCCTTCAGATGGACAATTCTGGAGGCCTGTATAGCTATTGGAATTGAGTGTCAGCTGCCCACAACAACTACGTGGATGACACTGCCCCCTTTTCCTGACCTTCTTTCTTTCCTTTTCTCACTCTCCATGTTCTCTCCTGCTTCCTGGCAACATTTCTGCAATCACCACCTGCATCCAAGTAACTAACTGTCTGAGGCCATGTTTCTGGGGGCCTTCCAGGTGACCAAAGACCCTAGAACTCCCTTTTCATGTAAGAGTTACTAGTAACCTCTGAAGTGAGGTAGTAAGGATTATGAAAATTTGGCATTTATAAACTAAAATTAGAGTGGTACCAGATTTTACTGAGGATGATAATTCAGCTTTCTATTGAGAAGGGCAGTTTCCATGCAATGACTCAAAGCCTCTACTGTGCATGCCCACTGGCAGGTCATTGAGAGCCCCACTGTCCTCGAGAAGGATATTTTGCAGTCAACATATTCTCAAGGTGGCCTTGAGCCAGTCACAGCTTCTTTAGGCTTTTAAACTAGAAAGTCCTATTAAGTACTATTACTTTGAGTGACAGATTAAAGAAGACCATAAATTCTTTGACACTCCTACATGATGAGGTAGAGTCTGTTTCTGCTACTTTGAATCTACACTGACGTGTGACTACTTGACCAATAGAGTATGGCAGAAGTGATGCTGTGCCAGCTCCAGGCCCAGCCTTTAAGAAGACTAGCAACCACACCTTGGGCCCTTGGAGCCCTCAGCTGCAATGTAGAAGCCTGACTACCTTGCTGGAGGCAACACATGAAGAGGGCCTGAGACAACACAGAGAGTAAGAGGGAGCCAGCTGAGCTCACTGTCTCAGCCATCCCCCAACCAGGGGTGGGGTGTGTGAGTACAGCTGTCTTGGAGCCTCCAGACAAGTCCTGCTGAGTACCACCAAGTGACCCCAGTCAACACCACATAAAGCAGAAGAATCAGCCAACCAAACCCTGCTTAAATTTCTAACACAGAAAATTGTGAAATAGAATAACAAAATGGTGGTTGTTTTCAATCACTGTGCTTTGGGGTGGTTTGTTATACAGCAATAGATACACCAACCGTTTTGCTTCATTATTGATTTAGTTTGCAGTACATGGTGATACATATTTGCATCAACAGAATTTGAGGTAATAATTTCTAAGAATTGCTTTAAGATATATATAGATATAGACATATAGATAGCTATAGTTATAGGTGATATAGATATATACATCGAAGTTCAGATGAATCATCTATATCCTCTTGCTGAAGCAGATGTATTACTCATCCAAAAAAAAAAGCTCCTTCAGTAACCTTCATTGGTCATGTGTTGCCTGTGAATCTGTGCTATTTATATAACTTGCTCTGTAAGTGTAATCCAACTTCTAGGCTATTTTTAAATGCATAGATCCTTGTGTTATAATACCAAGTTGTGTCTATAAGCTTGTTATATCAAATTGCAAATTAAATTACAATCGACCCATTAATAGAGAAAGTAGCATAGTGTAGAGGTTAGGAGTAATGGCCTCCAGGGCCAGCTGTGTGTGTTCAAATCCCTATAGAATTGAAAGAACAGAAACTACTTCAAAGGGTTTGAAGGTTAGTTGATGTATATAAGTGCTTAGAACAGGCTCATGATAAGACCAAATAGGCTTATTGCAACTTGTGTATTTTGTCCTCTTCAATTTCATATGGTCACCTAGTTCTTTCTCTACCAAAAGATAGAGCAACATAGTAGAGAGATGGGATGTCTGCCCTATAGTGTTCAGCATGGACTTCTCCCATAGCTGGTCTTCAGGAAATTTCTGTGGAATTAGTTGATAGTTATCCAACAAATGTATACTTTCCTTACACATCTGACATTCTTTAAACAATTTCTTTAGAAACAGTACATAGTGTCTTGGACTCAGAGGACAGATGTGTCAAGTCTACCTGCCACTGATTGCTAGTGCGCCAGTCTCCCTGCTGGTATCCATGGTGAAATTGTCCAATGATGTGCACAGCAGGCCTCCTACAGTGTCCTTCTGCCTGGGTGTGAACAGAACATTTTCTGAGCACGACAATCTCTGAATCCAGGTGAGAGGCTTGGACTGGGCCAGGTATGAACGACTCATATTGACCATTTGCATACACTTATTATAGTCTGAAATTTGAGAGAAAAAGATAAACATAAATACATACAAGAACGATTCTGGCTCCATCACTCTTGTAGCCACAACACATCCCAGGCCCCAGATTCTGTTCTCTTTTCTTTTTCTGCTCTTTTTTTCTCATGTGAACTTGTGGAGTTCTTGTGATTAGCCTTGAGAATGACAAGTCTTCCTAATTAGCACTTGCTAATAAAAGAAATCTCAGAGACATAAAAAAAGAGAGAGAGAGACAAGATGCTTGCCCTCCCCCTGTACCTGACAGGACTCTGAGCCAAGGTTCTGATGGGTGCTAACCCGATAACATTCACAGAAATGTGACCACAACAGCAGAGCCCTGTATAAAATTAACTGCTGCCAACCATTCTGCTCACTGCCTTTACAAAACTGTCCTAGCAAACATTGTTGTAACAAATGGATCTCCAAATTGCCTAAGCTCCCAAATTAGGCTCTGCCCTGTGGAATACAGTCTTTGATCTCTCCATCGTTTAGTTCTCTGGTAATAATATTTCCATTAAGATTGGATTTTATGAAATATAAACATATATCAGCTGTGTTGAGCCTCCCAGCTTTGACACTTCTCTTCCTCCCTTCATGCAGAAAGATGTAATAAATGACTCTAATGAAGTACCTAACTTGAGACCATGGATGTGAATGACTCTCACCACTTTATTATTTGTTATTTTTAAGAAATTGGGATTTGATAGATAGATCCTGTAATTTAACTAGGCTTTATACAAAGCCCAGTTTGTATTCTGAAAATGGAAAATGATGACTATATCTGGCTATCTGCTTCCTGCTAAAACCGAGGAGGAAAGAGCGCTTGGGTACATGGTGCTTGTGTGGCTCCAGTGGGTGTGTATGTGGGGGGAGGGATGTATGTGTGTGTAAAGTCTAGTGAAGTGCCTCTGTTGTGAGGGTGTCCATGGGCATTTGTTTCTTCAAGCAG